GTCTTCGTCTAACATTTCTTGAAAAACAAAGGCGTACCTTTGAAATAATTCCGGGTCGTACGTTAGATAAACCAAACACGAATTTCATTGACAACTAAAAGGACACGATTTCTGTCTTGCACTTAATGCTGGTTAAATGAGAAAAATTGTATTAAAAAATGAGTGTAAAATAAATTAACGTATGATTAGAATTAGCCTATTTATCACTATCTCTTGCGGAACCCCTAGTTACCTTGGGGTGCCGCGGAGGCGAGGTTGAGAAACTCCGCTTGACTAAACTATACCATGTCAACACTTAGCCTAGCACAGCAGTAGCCGAGTTTTCTACCCTGCTTAGTCGCATATCACTCTGTGAAAACTACAGTACACTTTTAGAACATTGCCAGACAAAAAATCGAATAATTAAGATACCAGCACCCTTTAAAACATTATTAATGAACTGTACAGAATCAGGCATTAACATTACAACATCCAGTCCCAGTAAATCACTTTGTGTCAGTTTCTATTATCCACCAGAAGCGGTTAAATTTAACAGATAGTCTTTTTGTATTTCCGTCACACTCAGCATAGCACAACACTCACGAATCACGTAGACTGGTCCTCACGCTATGCTGGACCAGGCGACGGCTGACCCCAAACACGCATTTATTAATGTTAACGTTTCGTGTATTCAAAATCGGCGCTTTCTCAAATATAAATTAATATTATTATATATTAAAATTTGCTGAATAGTTAAGTGTAGGTTTGGCTAGGTTATAGTGTACAGGTTCTATTGCAAATTATTGGGTGAAGCATTTACAAGTACAATTCGAACAGAGAACGTCAGCCAAGCACTGTTCTAATAATGTTCCAACGTCATCTGTTGTGATCGTGTGAAAAGTGTTTTGCGTTTGTAAACAGGGGGTTTGACGGTAGATTAATGAGTATTTGGAATTTGTTTGTGAGGACGGGCTGTGACTTGACCCACGGAAGTACAAGCTTCAGGTCTTCATTTCAAGATTCGAATGAACATGATCACTCACTCGAGAACAGGTGGTGTTCCACTACAGTTTCGCATCAAAACATCGATCAAATGAATCTCTCATATCGCATTTTACAAGCGCACATTCCCAAAATATTTCACTACGGTTAATTTTAACGCATATAATTATTATTATAATAACACTACATAACTATGTCAAGTAGAATAGTTAGTCACATGATAAGAAAATAAAAGTTAACTTTATAATAGAAAATGACATTTTAGTTTATTATAGGACTAACTAATATATATATTATACTACTCATTATTATACTATTAATTTTATATTTTTTTATTTATTTATATATAGAAGAGTTCTTACATTCTTGTACAGTCACTAGCATGCGATGCATAGCGTTTCGGGCAACTCCTTAATCCTAATTTTCAAACACACAGGAAGCAGCCCGTAGCAGCTAACTCACTGGTATCTATTTACTGCTAAGTGAACAGGTGCATCTGGGTGAAAGAAACTGCACATTTGTTTCCGTGTCGGCGGGAATCGAACCCGGACCATTAGTACTACGAACCCCGAGCGCTGTCCCCTCGGCCGTCATGCCCCTATACTATAATAATATACAATAATATACCTGAAGGTCACTAGCTATTTGCCTTGCTCCTTGCACTGAAATGTGTACAAGTCTCCAAACTTGATACATTAATTGTAAGTTTTTTTGTTTTTTGTTTTTTGAGATATATACAAGAGTTGTTACATTCTTGTACATCTACTAGTACGCGTAGAGTTTCGGGCAGGTCCCTGGAATACGATCCCCACCGCGAAGAATCGTTGTTACAACCAAGTACTCATTTTACTATTGAGTTAAACAGAGGCTACAGTTAAGGATTTGCGCCCAGTAAATCCTCCCCGGCCAGGATACGAACCCATAACAAAGCGCTCGCGGAACGCTAGGCGAGCGTCTTACCACAACGCCACGGAGACTGGTAAGTGACTCTTTATCATCCTTAATTGCTCTCAACTCTTTAAGATATAATTTTAACATGCTCGTGTCCGAAGCTAGACACAAATACAACAAAATTATTAAAGATGGTAACAGAGTCCATTTCATGTGGTCTCCATCTCATGATGGCCTCCGAATGCATGATAGAGCTGATGAGTTAGCCAAAGAATCTGCCCTTAAAGGAGACGTTGAGTGTAACCTTGGATTATCAATGTGCAGTCTGAGAGCAGTAGTACATCAAGAATTTCAACAAAATTTGAAAATCTTGTAGATCCGAGGCAAAGTGAAATTGACACCAGTAATTCCATCTATCATCATACTATCATGCAAGAAGAGCCACACATCTATGGATCATCCAATAAAATCAGCAGACGTCTAGATGTTACTACTGCTCGGCTTAGACTCTGTTACTTACAAGTATCTCTGGGAATTATCATTATCTGCCGATATAGACCTGACCAAATGTAAACTGTGTCAACAAAATTATTCGCACACCCTCCGTCACTATGTGATGGAGTGCGAAAAGATACGTGAAGTCAGAGACAATTCTATAACCAATGTTCCAACGATGTCAATAAAATGAGAATACATGCACAATATATATATATACGCTGACAATACATGCACTTCTTTACACAACGATGTATTCTTTCCGAAATAATTTATTTATCGACGTCACAGCAAAAGTTTATCTATGATCAATATTTGTTATTAAAATACTCTATATATAATAAATTTATTCATAATCATATTTACAATATATCTATAAGATTAAGATTAAGTAATTATCAAATGAGGGCACCAAGCCGGGAAGGCTATGTAGCACTAGGATTAAGATTAAACTATTGAGCATAAATGGCAGATATTTTTGTATTTGACTGATAAAGTACAAACAATTATTGAATAAACCAACAAACATGAAGAATATTTGTACGTATGTTACACTATGCAATCATTATCACAACAAACACGTGATTCGGTTATACGTAAGCATCCACTAGGAAAATGAAACGAAAATTCGAAAATGTTTCGTGTTTCATCACATTATTTTATTTCCTCGGTGAAACACGAAAACGTTCGGAATTTTCGTTTAATTTTCCTAGTGGATACTTACGCCTATGTTATAACTATTTCATACTATGTATAACTATTTCATATAGTCACTATAGTTATATAAGCATAGTTAACACATTTTGCCGTCAGTCTGGTAGCTGCCTCACACACACCTGCACTCTCCATCTCATGCCCGGATTCAAAACCAATTTCCATACGTGCAATCCTTTTTTGCGAGTCATATTTTCTCAAAGTCACTTCATTACTTTGTCTTAGTTACCCCATTTTGTGTCCATCCAACACTTCCCTCAAGGGTCACTGTCACTCATCATAAAATTATCGTCAGAATCTATCTACTTGAATCACTGTATTGATGACACACAACACCGGAATTATCTGTCCTTTGCATGTCTCATTTATAACTACAAATCTGACAATTCGCTTTCTATCCAAGTTTATTTTGGGCTGGACGGTAGAGCGATGGTCTCGCTTCATGCAGGTCGGCGTTCAATCTCCGACCGTTTAGGTGGTTGGGCATCATTCCTTTCCACCGTCCCATCCCAAATCTTTATCCTGACCCCTTCCCAGTGCTATATAGTCGTAATGACTTGGCGCTTTCTCCTGATATTACCCTTCCCTTCCAAGTTTATTTACAGTTTATCACTAGGCTAGTCATAATAGTGTTGATAGCCTTATCACTAGGCTAGTCATAATAGTGTTGATAGCCTTATCACTAGGCTAGTCATAATAGTGTTGATAGCCTTATCACTAGGCTAGTCATAATAGTGTTGATAGCCTTATCACTAGGCTAGTCATAATAATGTTGATAGCCTTATCACTAGGCTAGTCATAATAATGTTGATAGCCTTATCATTAGGCTAGTCATAAGCTAGTCATAATAATGTTGATAGCCTTATCATTAGGCTAGTCATAATAATGTTGAAAGTCTTATCACTAGACCAGCCATAATAATGTTACAAGTCTTATCACTAGACCAGCCATAATAATGTTGCAAGTCTTATCACTAGACCAGCCATAATAATGTTGCAAGTCTTATCACTAGACCGGCCAGAATAATGTTGCAAGTCTTATCACTAGACCAGCCATAATAATGTTGCAAGTCTTATCACTAGACCAGCCAGAATAATGTTGCAAGTCTTATCACTAGACCAGCCATAATAATGATACAAGTCTTATCACTAGACCAGCCAGAATAATGTTGCAAGTCTTATCACTAGACCAGCCATAATAATGTTGCAAGTCTTATCACTAGACCAGCCATAATAATGTTGCAAGTCTTATAATTAGACCAGCCATAATAATGTTGAAAGTCTTATCACTAGACCACCCAGAATAATGTTGCAAGTCTTATCACTAGACCAGCCAGAATAATGTTGAAAGTCTTATCACTAGACCAGCCATAATAATGTTGAAAGTCTTATCACTAGACCAGCTATAATAATGTTGAAAGTCTTATCACTAGACCAGCCAGAATAATGTTTCAAGTCTTATCACTAGACCAGCCATAATAATGTTGAAAGTCTTATCACTAGACCAGCCAGAATTTCCAAAGTTTAAAATCTTTTTCAGATGCTCATCTTTCCAACGTTAGTGTGTATACAGTATTCTAGACTGTCATTGATACCCTTAAAAATAAGTATAACTTAAACAAATCTAGCTCAGAGAATTACATTGCTTTTCTTGTATTGTGAAGTTTTGGTAAGAACTAATTTATGGATAGAATTCTAAATGAATCAACGTTGAATATGTCATCTGACTATTTTAATAATCAGAATTTGCTTATTTCTCAAAACTGTTCGCTTGTGAACACGTTCATAAACATATTTGTTAATATATATATATATATATATATATATATATATATATATATATATATATATATATATATATATATATATATATATATATATATATATACACATATACACACACGCTTTAGGCTTGCATCGAGGTCCCCCCCCCCCCCCCCCTAGGTCGAAACAATGACCTTTCCCAGGATCAACCCCACAACAGTTGCCTAACTTCCGTGTACCTGTGTACTGCTAGGTTAAAAGAAGCGTGTCCAACCATTTCTGTCGTGTCCGGGGATCGAACCCGGGATGCCCGATTGTGAGTGGAGAACTGCACGGACCCTTACGGGGAGTACGTACCCTTATTGTAGGCGTAACGATTAAGCACGTTAAATAGCAAATAAATTACGTAATCGTGAAATAGTCTGGGCAAGTAATTTCCTGTGTATAATTCATCCTAACTTTCTTTACACTATTTGTATAAATAATACTTTCGATGCGCAACTATAGCGGAGTAAAAGGCATTTTGTAAGGCAAGAAATTCTAACACATCGCTTGACCTTGTACACCAGCTGCCTTGTTATCCTAACTTCCTCGGAGAAGTTACACAAGTTTTCTGATAATGTATACAACACCCATGCACTTTATGAAAGACACTGGATTATCACTTTATAATCTAAAACTGCTTTTCTTCATACATCAGCGACATCTGAAGACACACTCTCCTCTGAGATCAGTGAGGTCCCAACACCCTTCTCGATGCTGTTTGAGGAGATTGATCTACTGCCGTAGAGGAGCTCCAGCTGCTCCACGGTATCTGGCATAGGCTTCTTATTGGACTCTGGCAGCAGGAGGGCGAAGAGGCAGCCTACTCCTGCACAGACGCCGAACAACACCGACGGAGCCCACCAGTACGAGAGGGCCTGGAATAGTGACATTTTTTTAAATATTATAACCATGTTATTAATGCCACTGCTGAATAATTGACGCGTTACACTTTTAGATTAAGAATAACCCTTCCCTTCTATACCCTTCTGGGAGCCGTAACAGCTTCAGACTTATCAAAAATGCTGAGCACAATAGCTTAATACAGCCTTACGAAAGACCGCCTCACAAAAACTACTGTGAACTAGAATTTCAGTGATTCTATAAATATCGAACTGAAACGGATTGATATAAACCAAACATGTTTAACAATGATACAAGAACTACCATGAGTAAATAAAGGTTAATTATTTTGTATAATTATTATTAAGTAGAAGAGAAATACTCACCAAGACCTTGATGACGAAAGGAGAGACGATGGAGCCGATGCGAGCCATCAGAGAGGAGACATTAAGCCCCCTAGAACGGACACAAGTGGGGAAGAGCTCGGAGGAGACCAGGTAGAGGAGACCGTAGCTGCCTGTGATGAAGAGCTTGCCCACCAGCGCCAGGGAGAATATCATCCAAGTGTAGCCTGCAACATTATACTGGGGTTTGATTGATTGATTGATGAAGATTAAGCCACCCAAAAGGTGGCACGGGCATGAATAGCCCGTAAGTGGTGGCCCTTTTAAGCCATTACCAGTATCAAGAGCTGATACTGGAGATCTGTGGAGGTGGGAATGCACCCTGCATGACGGGAGATGTCTCCCTTATGAATGTGTTAAGATGAAGATGAAGCAACCCAAAAGGTGGCACGGGCATAAATAGCCCGTAAGTGGTGGTCATTTTAAGCCATTACCAGTATCAAGAGCTGATACTGGAGATCTGTGGAGGTGCGAATGCACCCTGCATGACGGGAGATGCCTCCCTTGTGAATGTGTTAAGATGAAGATGAAGCCACCCAAAAGGTGGCACAGGCATGAATAGCTCGTAAGTGGTGGCCCTTTTGAGCCATCACCAGTATCAATAGATGATACTGGAGATCTGTGGAGGTGCGACTGCACCCTGCGTGATGGGAGATGTCTCCCGGACCAAATGGTGACCAGATGGTGTCGGGTTTGAATACCTTCCTGTTTCATATTTACATGTGGCCAGACACTCACGGCTCCAAGTAAGATTCAAGAGTTAATTTTGTGGAAATAATTAAGTGAAAATTCAAAAAATATGAAAACTAAATATTTACAGAGGTAATGAAAATTTAAATATATTATAAATTACTAACAACGTTTTTGTGAGTTTTCATTCAATTCACTAAGCAAGAACTAGACAATATTGGCTGGACACGATAACATACTTGAGGGCGTGGCGAGGATGGTGAGGATGGCGGCGGAGCACACGGCGAAGTTGAAGGAGAGCACGAACCGCCTCCCGAAGCGAGCCACCACCGGGGTGAAGCCGCTGTAGCCTGGGATCTCCATCAAGGAACTTAGGACCATGTACAGGAAGGGGTCGGTGCTGGCGACGAGAGAGAGAAGACAGTGTTGCGTCACTCGTTCGAGGGATTGGACTCGATATAATAGCAGGTTATATCAGTAGGCTATCCGCCACTCTCAGGTAGGACAGCGTATTATGCAATCTTTGCCATGATTCGTGGTCATCAAACAATAACTTTCTGATTTTTTTTCACCCACTTCCATTCTCGCTTCTTAATCACTTATTTGATTCTCCTAGAACTCTTTGTTGCACCTGTCATCTCTACAATAGTAACACCATCGCAAAGGTTACCAAGCTTTTCCGTTATCTGGTAATAAAGTAAGTGCACCTGCCTCTCACCCTCACAATATCATTCCCTTCCATACTATCTAAACACCCTAACTCTGTTTTTAAAGAGGATTTATTTTAATCCAGTTGTATCTTACTGTCCTCCTTTGTTATGTAACTTTTCCGTGCCATGATTCTCAAAAGGAAGTTAACACGTAAAAATTTTGTTATTAACGTGAAGACTGACTCACCTACGTCGTACGTAGGTGAGTCGTAACTCACCTACTGTACGACGTACCAGTGAGTCACTGGCAGTGACTCATCTTACGTCGTACCAGAGACAGACAGTGACTCACCTTACGTCGTACCAGACACTGACACTGACTCACCTAAAAGTCGTACCAGAGAGACTAATGCCCCAGTAAGTGACTCCTGTGCAGAACCAGCAGCCGAAGAGCACAAGGGTGATCCTACGGAGGGTTGGGGTCCTGACGAGCACCGTCAGGTTCTGCCACCAGGCGGCCAAGCGGCTCCTCGCACTCACAGTTACGGTCTGATTCCCGCTCCGTTCACCGCCGTCTGCGTTCTGTTGATGTTTATTCTTATTAATACCTGATGAGATATATTGTATCTTATATAACTCTACTGTTATGTGTTTGTGATTTAATCAATTTACCTTCATGAACACGAGTAATGTTATTATTTTCAAATTTATAATGGTTCTTGTATTGACTAAACAATCCTTTGTCACCGACTGTGTTATTCTTGGTGTTAACGTTATAATTTTTCTGAGTTTACTATAACTATATTCCAGCCCATTCTTGTCTTTTAGACAGCATATGTAATTGCAGCTTAGCTCATATATATATACGAGCAAAGCTTGAATGGTCCTCAATCATTATAACTATGATCTCTTCAGAGGATTGAAACCAAGGCCGCCAGGGGCCTCCACATCAACAACACCGATACCATGATTACTGCACCAAGATATATATGAATAATATATATATATATATAACTTTTTCGGCTATATATATATAGGTTAGGTTAGGTAGGCTTGGTTAGGTTCGGTCATATATCTACGTTAATTTTAACTCCAATAAAAAAAAATTGACCTCTTATAATGAAATAGGTATCATTGCATAAGAAAAAAATTAGAGAAAATATAATAATTCATGATATTAGGCAAATTGGGCCTTGCATTGTAGGCTGAAAAGTGAGTTCTGGCTACTATACGACATATATATATATATATATATATATATATATATATATATATATATAATATATATATATATATATATATATATATATATATATATATATATATATATATATATACCTAGTATATATATATATATATATATATATATATATATATATATATATATATATATATATATATATATATATATATATATATGTCGTACCTAGTAGCCAGAACGCACTTCTCAGCCTACTATGCAAGGCCCGATTTGCCTAATAAGCCAAGTTTTCCTGAATAAATATATTTTCTCTAATTTTTTTCCTATGAAATGATAAAGCTACCCATTTCATTATGTATGAGGTCAATTTTTTTTATTTGAGTTAAAATTAACGTAGATATATGACCGAACCTAACCAACCTAACCTATCTTTATAGGTTAGGTAGCCGAAAAAGTTAGGTTAGGTTAGGTTAGGTAGTCGAAAAACAATTAATTCATGAAAACTTGGCTTATTAGGCAAATCGGGCCTTGCATAGTAGGCTGAGAAGTGCGTTCTGGCTACTAGGTACGACATATATATATATATATATATATATATATATATATATATATATATATATATATATATATATATATATATATATATATATATATATATATATATATATATATATACTGCCCTGACAGGTACAGACAAAAATCAGAGGATACAACTGACGATTTACTATAAAACCAGAAAAACGGCCAGCCTACTCATGAGAAACTCTCCAGACACAAAACAGAACGCTTTAAAAGAGACTAACGTCGTCTATGCCTTCAAATGCCCACTTGGGGACTGTAAGCTCCAAAAAACCCAGTATATAGGCAAGACAACAACATCTCTTTCTAGGCGTTTAACGATGCATAAGCAACAGGGCTCCATTAAGGAACATATAATCTCTTCCCATAACCAAACCATCGCCAGAGAAATCCTAGTAAACAACACAGAAATCATCGATAGATACAGCGATAGCAGGCGGCTTGACGTTTGCGAGGCACTACACATCAAGAAGTCAACACCAGCAATCAACAGCCAATTATTGCACAACTATATTCTACCCACCTCAAGACTCCGCTCCAATATAGAAGCATCAAGAAATATGGACCAATAGGCTTTCTACAAACACTTCTATTCAATACCCATTGTTTCTGTTCTGTCTTGTGTTGATACTTTTAATACCCTATTAATATCCCCTATTGTTCTGTCTTGTGTTAATGCCACATCACCCTTCCCACCTCACTCAAATGTAGATATAAAATCAGAGAAACGCAAGTTCTAATCAGTTGTGTATTTGTGAAGTCTTTGAAAATGTAATAAGTTTTACGAAACGCGCCCGTGTCGCGTCAGACTAGAAATAAAAAATGAATTTTGGAGAAGTGATTTTTTATTTACCTCCAACAGTGAAGCGTAATGTACGAAAGATTGAGAAAATTCGTGTTAGAATTATTAATCTTACTTTTTCGGTCATATTTAATAATATATGTCTACAGGAAAGACTGCTACCAAAATATACTAATGTTAAAGTGCACGACCCAGCAGCAAGGAATCAAGCCTTCACGATAAAATATCGCCAGGATCTGATTCGTGATCAGATATACAAGGCAGAGAATGAAATCAAAGACAACAAAACGCAACTACTTCATGCTACAAACGAGTGGAGAAATAGCAACATCGACCATAGTATCCGTACCCGCATTGAACAACACCTCGACATCCTCACAGACCAACATCACCTCAGCACTGAAACAAGGATTATCAAGAAACTAACAACATTATATGGAGGACCTATGGCAATTCCACGACCAAGAGATGGCTTCCTGAACCTTGCAGGAATTAACCTCACTGAGGACCAAGTCACTCTCCTAAATCTGGGCATAAACTGTCATGTTATGTCCAGACCGAGTGAAATGGCCCGGAAAGTAGAGTTGGAAATTCTGTTGGACGACATATTCGACCTCGAGACACAAAAGAAGGTCACTACCAAAGATACCTTACAAGCAGAACTTATTGCAGAAGGAGGAAAGAATCGAGGCAACTACAGAAGCACCATACTGTCCCCCGAGCTTAAAGCGGCAGCTAAAAGCCTTCGTGAGAACAAGGAGATAGTTGTCAGGAGAGGTGACAAGTCGCCAATATATGTCATTCTTAAAAAAGACGAATATCTGGCGAAAATGAACATCATACTCTCTGACCAAACTAAGTTCCAAAGGGTAACGAAGGACACTACAGCCGAATTAAAAGCAAAGGTCAACAAACTGATCGAAACTGTGAACGCCAAGAAATCCGGACTCCACCTGCCAAAGATCATTGGGGAATATAAACCTGGATATGCGTATGGAAATGTCAAGACGCACAAGCCTGGAAACCCACTTCGGCCAATCATTAGCCAGATACCCACACCCACGTACAGACTGGCGAAGCGACTCAACGGCCTGCTGACTCCTTATGTTCCTTGCGCCTTCAGCCTGAAGTCTCCAAAGGAATTTGTGGACTTACTGCGGGGCGCACGGGCCACAGGGATAAGAGCCTCGTTGGACGTAGAATCGCTGTTTACCAACGTACCTGTGGACGAGACAATCGGAATGATAGCCGACAGAGTGTATCGTGATCCAGCCTGTACTCCTCTTGACATGCCAGAAAGTATTCTGAGGAAACTACTCCAAGCTTGTACTAAAGAGGCACCCTTCTTGAGCCCGGATGGGCACATGTATAAGCAAGTAGATGGGGTCGCCATGGGTTCTCCCCTAGGTGTCCTGTTTGCAAACTTCTACATGGGTACCATCGAGCAAAAAGTCTTAGTCGACATGAACTTGAAACCGGCCATATACTGCAGGTATGTTGACGACATTTTTACACAGGTACCTGATGTCAGACATCTGCAGGAGCTGAAGGAGGCATTTGAGCAGAGTTCCGTGCTGCGTTTCACTTACGAGGCGGAAAAGGATGGGAAGCTGCCTTTTCTAGATGTAACAGTCATGGAAAAGGGCGGAGGTTTCCACACTGCAGTCTACACTAAGGAAACAAACATAGGAATGTGCCTAAATGCCAACAGCGACTGCCCTGACAGGTACAAGAGGAGTGTTGTTAACGCATACGTCGACCGTGCTCTCAGCCACAGCTCAGAATGGAAGCAAGTCGACGAAGAACTCTGTAGGGTAAGGCAGGTCCTAGTCAATAACGGCTTCTCCAATGGTTTCATCGAAGACATCATAAGAAGGAAAGTGAAAAGCCATGCAACCTCCGAAGAGACAACTAACACAACACCTATACCCCCTATTAGACTATTTTACAGGAACTTCTTTTCCACAGCTCATAAAACGGAGGAAAGGGTCCTGAAAGATATTGTTAATAGAAACGTTATCCCTACAGACAAAAATCAGAGGATACAACTGACGATTTACTATAAAACCAGAAAAACGGCCAGCCTACTCATGAGAAACTCTCCAGACACAAAACAGAACGCTTTAAAAGAGACTAACGTCGTCTATGCCTTCAAATGCCCACTTGGGGACTGTAAGCTCCAAAAAACCCAGTATATAGGCAAGACAACAACATCTCTTTCTAGGCGTTTAACGATGCATAAGCAACAGGGCTCCATTAAGGAACATATAATCTCTTCCCATAACCAAACCATCGCCAGAGAAATCCTAGTAAACAACACAGAAATCATCGATAGATACAGCGATAGCAGGCGGCTTGACGTTTGCGAGGCACTACACATCAAGAAGTCAACACCAGCAATCAACAGCCAATTATTGCACAACTATATTCTACCCACCTCAAGACTCCGCTCCAATATAGAAGCATCAAGAAATATGGACCAATAGGCTTTCTACAAACACTTCTATTCAATACCCATTGTTTCTGTTCTGTCTTGTGTTGATACTTTTAATACCCTATTAATATCCCCTATTGTTCTGTCTTGTGTTAATGCCACATCACCCTTCCCACCTCACTCAAATGTAGATATAAAATCAGAGAAACGCAAGTTCTAATCAGTTGTGTATTTGTGAAGTCTTTGAAAATGTAATAAGTTTTACGAAACGCGCCCGTGTCGCGTCAGACTAGAAATAAAAATGAATTTTGGAGAAGTGATTTTTTATTTACCTCCAACAGTGAAGCGTAATGTACGAAAGATTGAGAAAATTCGTGTTAGAATTATTAATCTTACTTTTTCGGTCATATTTAATAATATATGTCTACAGGAAAGACTGCTACCAAAATATATAATATATATATATATATATATATATATATATATATATATATATATATATATATATATATATATATATATGTCGTACCTAGTAGCCAGAACTCACTTCTCAGCCTACTATGCAAGGCCCGATTTGCCTAATAAGCCAAGTTTTCATGAATTAATGTTTTTTCGTCTACCTAAC